AAGCTTTCATTGTTTGGACAAACCATGACAAATATCCTGTGAGCTCTACATCTCAATATATCCATATTGAGCAATCTCGAAAACCCTAGGTTCACGGAAAGGACATCCACAAATTTGGGAAGGTCCCATCGCTTACCACACGTTTGTACAATAATGATATATGGTAAACTTGGGGGGTATCGCTTGCAGGAAACTGCTACATTTATATATATAATTCACAGACATCAACGTCCAATTTGGGTATCGCTAATGTGGATATTAGAGAAATACAATGACATATCCTTGAAAAGGGGCATCGCTAATTTGGGAAGGTCCCACCGCTTACCGTGTGTTTTCAACAATTTCCATGAATTTCCATAAACCAATGTCCGTCGAATACATATTTAGTATTGCCAGGGCTTTTGCGGTGGCTAATATAATATTACAGTGTGTATATTATTGTATGTATGTTATGTATGTAAAATGTCATCTTATGACCCAGCTATACTGGTGGTCGCAAAGGTTATAATGTGGTATAACCTATTGATCAACCGGTTCTACCAATTTCTACTTCCTAATGATCTCCCCAGATCGAACCGAAGCCCGGTCACGGCAGCGCGCTGGAGAGGAAGACAGTGCTCTCACGCAGCATGGTGGCCAGCTGCGCCTCTGGAAGTAAACATGGGGACAGGGAGAATGGTTATAGAAATACTTGATGTAGCTATAATGGTGATTTGTTGCTGATTTTCGTATTATGTTGGCTTACCAGAGGGTATATGGGGACAATGAAGGGGATAGGATATGGATTTAAAATGATTCATATGGGCAAAATAAGACAGAACCTGCCATGAGTTGGGGGTTAAAAGACTACTTTCCACTCAAAACTTGGCTATTTTCAGGGTTTGTGTTCATTTGGGGGAGGGTTGTCACCATTCTTGCCGATGGAAATAACCATACGATTTATCTGGATTATAACATATTTTCAGACACACCTATGTTTGTACCCAGTTATATAATATCGGACTAGGACTCAACCCATTCTATCAGTCATATCCCCATGTTTAACACCAATTTTGTATATAACAATAATACCAAAAGGTATGCAACCAATAAGAGTCATTTCCAACGACATTTTGTGGATTGAGGGTGATATATTATATTGAGTAGTTTATTGGGAAGCCACATATTGCGATTTGATGCAGCGTCCCAAATATACTCTGAAAACAAATCCAGTGGAGTGATCCCAGTAACAACTGAGTGTGGGTCTCACTCTCCATGGTTTGAGGGGACATTTGCAGGAAAACCCAAGGTTTTTATTTGATAGCAAAAACCATAGTTTCCTGCATTTCCCTTCAACATCTGAAACCAATTCATTGACAATATCATCCCATCTCTGTTGGTTTACATCTTCGTTTTGGCTGGTGACCAGGGACAATTCCTGCGATGAACAAACAAGTTATGGCCGTTGTTGATCATCGATCCCAGTTTTTGATGGTTGAAACGCATGTTTGGTTGGTTGAAATGATGTTATCATCATCCAGTTGGTGTTGGCCAAAACAATTTTCGGAGATTTGTATTTGGTTGAACACATCCATTCTTGATGGTGTGCAATGGTTAAACTGTTAAATCCCACATGTACTTGTTGGTTTCTTGAAACAAATCCATCGTTGATGGTCTCATCAATGTTTAGTGCACCTAATGGGCTCGAAATCCAGTGGTTTCTCATGATATTCATCACTAAAATTGTCATGTCAGGTGATCACCAAATACAAAATACTGGTTGGTTACATATCCCATTGATATCCTTATTCAATCCCCATAAAATCATACCAGTCATCCACCAACCATCATTTATCAATTATTATCCCCATATTTCTGATGGTTTAAGCCCCACCCCGTCCTCCTCCAACTCCACACGCTTCTCGCGCCACTCCGCACGCACAGGGCCCACATGCAACGACACACAGGGCTGCAGTGAGATGGAGAGACCACTGCAGGTGAGGACTGCCTGCAATGCCCAGGATCTGTGGTTTATGCCTCAATTGATCAATAATAACTTATGATAATTGGTAATCATGATACGAGTATTACCTGATCAACAATTTAATGGATCTGTGGTAATTTATCATAATTAATGATACTGCACTGCTATAACCGGGCTATAACCTCAAAAATCAGGGTTGCCCCCCCCAGGTAGAGGGGTAAATTGGCTATAATGTAGAGGTAAAATGACAAATTTTCCCTCCTTGTGGTGATCATTTACCTACAGTGGACTGGAAAAACCCAAAAATACCCCATGAATCTCATGAATCTAACTAGGGTATGTTGGGTATATGGTTGTTACCGTAACTTACGATGCCTGGGATGCAGCCCTAAGTGGGGTTTAAGCGGATTCGAAGGGATTGGAACGTGGATGATTCGCACTAAAGGGGCTGGCTCGGAACCCAACAAAATATCTCTGCATCACGCAAAAAACGATTAAACGGATTAAACACTATACCGAAAATCATAAAGATAGTATGTGTGTATAAATATAATTATATATCTATAATATCATATCATTCAACAATTCTTCAATATAAATATATATATATATATTTATTAAACTACGTACAGAATATACATACTTTAAACACACATCACATGTCTGCCATCTACTGCTACCCGCTCCACCTGCGTGATGTTCGTGGCCGTCGGCTCTGCAGCGGGGCCCGGGGGCCCCGGGGGCCCCGGCGCGGCCACAGGGCTGGAGGAGTGTAACAGGGGTTGGAGCGTCTCCTGCCGACAGGATGTAATGGTGGGTATATGGCGGGAAGAGTGGAGGTTGTGGGATATCAGATATCATATCCCCAGCATAGGACTAGGATATGGGCCATGGGATATTATATTCCCACTATAAATAGGGATATATTGCAAAGAACATAGCATATGGATGCATATGGTGGGCTTAGGCCAACCACAACAAGGATTGAATCGGGATGTAATAGGGAAACTACCCACAAACATAGAAGTTTGTAAAACCAGTTTCTGAAATGGCAGTGTGTCAAAACCTTGTACCCCTGGTGAACATCAAAATAGCTGGTAAATGGATGTTCATCCCCCTAAAAATGGTATTAATAGGTATTGATCCATACCCAAATAAGGATAAATGATGTTAAATTGAAACCTTTTGGGGTTACTACCATGATCATACGTGCTATACGGTCAAGTTACATGGGATTTGTGGTGCGGCCAGCCATCCCGTGCCATGGGAATCCAATCTCATTATATAATTAATGTGGCAGCTTATGGTTTAAATTACAGTAAAAATAGGAACATTGGATTTTTATGCATTTGGATGCATTTGGAACAACTATTAATTGGTACTAGGTGTTGCACTATAGTTTATTTTACTCCCACTTGTGGGATTGGTTGCTTGACAACGTGTTGCCACTCTGGGATGTGGTAAGAAATGGTTCAGCAACTAGGTGGCCGCGTTCAGTCATCCCCGCCCGCAAAAAAATCACCCTGGCCCATGGGCACACGAGATTAGGAAGTCACCCCACTAGTAAAACATCACCCTTGAACCGTGAAACCTGGTTCGGCACACCATTTACGCATACATTCTATAATAGTACATGAATCATAGGCATGTTGTGGAACTATTCATTGGGCAGGCACAGCATCAAAAGGTACTCATATCTTTCGGGGGAATAAGTGGTTTGAGAACATGTACTCACATTAGTACAAATGCATACATATGTGATATGGGTGAAGTATGGTCCAGTATAGTTGGTAAGTTGGAAAATGGAGATGATTGATGATGATTGTCTATTTCTTATTGACCTGTTGTTTGTAAATGATCACGACAAAGTGAGAACGGATCATGAACACGGAGGAACGATACAGTATCGCAAAGCAATTGAGAACAGGTGGGTGAATATCATGAACTAATCAAGCCTACATAGCTGAATCAAAATTATTGTCTGACCAGTGTCAGTAAACTGTATGTCAGAAAATGGAAAACCGTGCATCAATTCTTGTGAAAGTAGCTCGTATGGCATCTTGGACATTTTTGAAATGCAAGTCAAACGGGATGTGACCGGATTGTCAAATCGACCAACAGCATAAACACCCTTACCTGTAGCTGGTGAGAAGTGTACCTTAGTTAGGATTCGGGATGATACCGAGTCCACGGTAAAATCAAGGTAGTATTAGTCAGTTGTTGCTGATTGGCATCAATGCTATACGTGTCGTGTACATATGCATATACATATATGTATGGACATGTCTACGTAGAGATTTACACCTAAGACTCTGTGTTATTTCATGCATACGTGAAGGCACATGCTTTTTTAAATCTCTGACTCTTTTCCTGAGTTTACATGGCATGATCCCCAAACTATCCCAAACTTATAGCATTTGTATCTGGATTACCTGGATTACAGTCCAAAGACATCCGAGTTGACGACCATGATTCCCCACTTCCAAGCACTTCGTAAGTTCAGAGATCATCCTAAAACAAGTTTCGTGGTTCAACCCCCGTCTTATGGATTTGTCTCAAAATCTGGAACCCCAAAATCATAGAAAGCTTATAAGCTTTTTCTCCATATCCACATTGCTGTAAATTACATTAGAGTAAATCCACAATTCTTGGTGGTTAAAACCCAATCGAAATAGCCAACAAGGCCAAAGTTTGACCCATTTCCCGTATCCGTTAGCTTCAAATTGCAAAGAATCTCCACAAAACCAATTGGGTGTTTCTTTAAATAGGGGGTACCCAAAAACCATTGGTTTTCCATGAAAACTTGTCAATCGAATGATTTTGAGGTTCCCCATTTTAGACACTCCTGAGTTGGTATAACCCATCGGACCTTCGGATGTCGGTCTCCATGACCATTCCATTAATTCCCATGTTTTTGGGTACACAGATGGTCCACTGACATGAGAATTCCATTAAAATCCCACCAGAATCCTACTAAAATTCCATTAAACTCCCAGAAAACTCCCATAGATTCCCAGCGATTCCCATCGGATCTAGGTCACAACCATCTCCATGGCTCCTTCATCGCCATGCACCAGGAGGGCTCCAGGGACACTTCGGGCCGTGCCAGGTGCACCGACAAACGCCAGAGGCTCGGGCCCTGGCACGGCGGATGTATCTTGATGAGTACTTCCATATTTGCAACTATTTGCAACTCTAGATATATTTTATGGAGTTATATTATATTGGTATACAATATATATATATAATATACTAATATAAACAAAAAAAAAACTATCATTATTAATATGTCTTTAAGTGTGTGTCTTACGTATTTGTATACGTGTAATTATATATGTATGTATACACTTGATCCGTCGAGAGGCGGTGACAATGTGTAAAGTATGTCAATCACATCATATTGAAATAATGATATGATATGTACCAACAAAAATATACCATTACAAACATATATATATACCTAAGAATACTGCTTCAATGATCTATTCAATATACTGCAGCCTGCATTTTATGCCTCGGTTTGAATTTTGATTGTTACTTCTACTCTGAGACACTTTATTTCTGTAGGTCGGAGAAAGTACTGGTATCCACCGTTGGAAAATTCAGCGGCATTGTTTCAGTCCGCTGCCTCTGGATGCTGCGATCCTGCTTCGGACTCTTCTGAGTCCTGGAATCGGCATTTGGACTTCCCTTGGGGAAACGTTTTTAAACGTGGCTCAACTCTTGCCCCCTGGCCATCAAACATGGCAAGGAAAACTGTTTATGTCACAACATGTTTATATAATTATAATTATAATTATTTATATATATATAAACATATAAATTGGTGTTTTCCCATGTTTAAATAATATACATTATGTCATAAATGGTTTCATACCATTAGAATGTGTGCTTGCCATGTTTAGTATAATTACCGGAGAGTAAGCCCTTTACCTTTATGAAAATGGATCTGGACGATGATCTTACTCCATCAAAGGTTCATATATGTTTTCGGAATTGTTGGGAAGCAAATAAAGAAAAGCATGGAAGGAAACTCTTTGGGGCATCCTGAGGTTCAAGGTTCTCCTTTTTGGATAGCAAAAGTTTGATGAAGTTCGTCTCTCTAAATCACATCTCTCCAAACTTGCCAAGGGTTTCCTTACACAACTAGTGCCAGGTTGTTTCACTACAAGAATGGGGTACCCAGTATAGGTTCTCCTCAGTTCAACGACTGATAATTTTGGTATACCCCGTTCAGCGTGCAGGGCTGGTATGGGTTGCTGGCTTGGATCCCCACTGCCACTACACCATAATCTTTGCAGGACGCTACCACGGGTACTGCCGTCACCAAAGACTATATGATACAACCAATATGGCCAGCTACTGCCAGCTAATGTGCCAACATGGCAAGTTGATGCAAGCTGCCACTCAACCAGGAGCTAGATCTACGTCCTAATTGACGGCACCACCAGTATCATTTTTTTTGCGTAGATCAGCTGTTTTATGGTGTATGGGGAAATTGTAGGAATTTGATGGAATTTGGTTTCTTTCAACATAGTATCCCGTGATCACATGATTAAACAAGATCCAACAATACCAATCGATTGACATAACCATTGCAGGTCACTAAGATCGAAAGCAAAACAGGGGGCTGCCCCAAAACAACCATTTTACTGAGGAAAATGATGACACCCATCTATGTACGACCACTTATGATAATGTTGGAGACCCTACCTTCTAAGGGGCAGTTAGCCATCCTCTCCGAGTCTCCTCACTCTGGTTTTCACGCGCTGATTGTGGAAGAAATACTTCGGGAGGTACGATCAGGAAACCAATACGTACCTTTGGAGGATGCAGTTGATGCATTGAAATCACAAGATCACCAACAAAAAATGTATATAATAATTATAATTATATACATATATATATATATATTACAGTATAAATATTGTTTATATATATATTAAGTTGGGCTTATATGAGTATCAATCACTACTCAAGATTCAAGGTATCACAAAACGTCTGGATGTGGTTCACTTTTTTTAATATTTTTTTGGGGGTACTGTACTACCGTACACTTATGGGTTCAAAGAAACTTAGTGCCGCAGGGATTGAACACATGAGAAACACATTGGTGGTGTGGGGTGTCAACTGTACTGGAATTGACTAATCACATCCCCCTATTATTTGGGGAGGGGGGGTTAGTATTAGGGGGAAGGGATTATATAGTGGCATAAAGGGTTTCAAGGGACCCCCCCAGCTTGTAGGCAAAACAACTAGATCAATAGATTGCCAAGTTTTGGGCAGATAAGGAAAACATTGCAAATGACAAAGATTGGAACATTTGGAACATATTTTGCAACGTAATGGATTGCAACTGGGCACATCTGCAACAGGTGGTTGAAAGCGATGTTATCCCAAACGGCTCGCACCTGTTTGGATTAAGGAGGACTAGCACCCCAAAATGGCGGCTTTTCAATGGCCTACTTGCATTTCCCCTCTACACTCACATAGGTCTCGCTTAGCGACTTTAGATGCCCCCCATAAGTTTTTTTTTTAAATGAACCTCTTTAAAAGTCTCTATGTGGTGGTTTCAACCCGTCCATCCATCCATCCGAAAAAGGCGCGATCAATCATCCCAAATATGAAAAACAATCAGCGAAGGTATGCTTAGAAGTATAACATGCAAGTCTTTTGAATCACCAACCAACATACTCAGCAGGACCCCACATTTCCCTCAGCAACAGAATCCGAATTTCATCCAAGCTGCAGCAGTTTTGCCTTCTGCGCCCGAAGTACTCTCTGCATTCCCTTCCTGGCGCACTTTGTTGCATAAATTCCAGCCAGCACATGTCACTATGCAAATGAGCACATATCCAATCTGCTCATGTGCTACTACCTTTATGTTCATATGCTGAAACGGCCACGGTATCAACATGTATCAATTGCCATCTCAGAAATGTCACGTGATGGCCACAGAAACCTGCTAGGTGATTAGGTGTTCAGTTTCTCAAGGTGGGAACAAGGTCGCAATCCCATGCAAAACATGTTCTGTGATTTGGGATCAAAGAAAACTAGTGAAGGTATAAGATGACCATAGAGACAGGCCGAAACCAGCAAATTCCTCACTATCGGTCACTGCACATTGAAAGATTATGGCTTTGCGGGGGCTCCTTCCCTCTCCCACTACAACCATCCAGCGTACAACACAAATGCGTCATCGTTGACCGAGATTAAGACAGTCAGAAGCACGACTGGAGCACGTGATATCAAAGAACCATGGTCAACAGATACATTCAAATATATAGATCATACATATCAGAAACAACCCAGAAATATAATATTATATATATATCTACATATATATATAGATATATATATATTATATTTATATTTATATATTTCCCAAACTTTCGTTTCGCACAACGAAGCCGTTCGGCATCCCCAGGGACGATGCCCCAATTCTCTCAGCATCGCCTTGCTGGAGGCTACCCGGGAGCCTGAGAGAAATGTCGTGCTCATGGGTTTGTAACTAGGTCAACTGTGGGTTATGGTAGATCTATACTATGTAATCTAACTATGTTACCTAAATAGTCAATGGGTCTTATAAAACAACTTATAACTGTGGGGGCACAACATTGTAGGAAAACTAATGGCAATGATACCCTATTCTGTGACACACCCAGTTGAAAGCACCCATCGAAATTATTGAAGAGTTTCAAACATATTTCAACGATCTGCTAACAAGACTCACGGAGGTGCAAAAAAAAATAAAGGATCTGGAGGACTTTCCAACTGCAAGTGCCTAAAACCATCTAAAACCCCCATCTGAAACTTTGAGACGGCCATGGGGAAGAGTCGAGATCAATACCTAGTGTCTAGTAGCGATGGTATCTGAATCTTGTAAACTTCACTAGACTTGCAGAGACTCGATGAGCTGACAAGTTCCAATTCTTCTTCAAGTTGTCGCCTGATTTTTCCTTTGATTTCGTTTTGAGCATATCATGGCGAGCATTTAATCCCTCATCGCAGCGCCATTTTTTTGGGCTGGAAACCACTGCTACATGACATGTTCAAATGTAATTGTCCTTCAAAAAAACTGACTTCCAGCGACCGAAATATGCCCTGCTGGGCTGGAGGTCCCAGCCCGCCTGAAATGCCCAAGACATCGTGCGATGGCGGCGGAAACTCGCCCACCAGGCGACGGCCAGCCTGGACATCAGCTTTGTGGCTTCAATCCATTCACTCAACCATTTTGTTCAATGTGTTTTTAATGTTTTTTTGGGTGAACCATGGTGAACATAATCAGGCCCAAACAGAATATCGATAGATTTAGATAGCCTACATGTTTCCTGTATCTTTCCCATTGAAGATGAAAGGACTAAACTACCCAACGTGCACCCAGCAACTAGCACCTCAATCCATGTTGCTGCGCGGCTCAAACTGCTGGAGATCACTTTTGAGCTGCTGCGACCTGAGGCATTCCGGGTATTCCCCACAGGGAAAAAGGTGGAAAAATGACGGGTGTGTTCAACCTATAAAAACAACAATGCTCACCCCAATGTAATATAGTACTATTGTTTGCAATGATAATGATACTGACCACACAAGAATCATCATAATCATAGTGATATTCAGAATAACAGTAGTATTCCAGAAAGGAATGATAGTAGCAATCACAATAAATGGAATCGGAATGACAAGAATCATGGGGATATCATGCACAAATAATGCAGATGTTTCAACCCCTAGAGCTCGGAGTACACGCATGAGATCATTGGAGGTATTAGCCATGGGGAAGAATAAGCAAGAATCATTGAAACAGCCGCTGGTGACACAGGAATTTGCATCATTGCTATATATATATATACTATAATATAATATATATATATACTATAATATAATATATATAATATATATAATAAATATATATATGTATAATATAATATATATATATATAATACATATATATATAATACATATACATGGTTTGACTTTCCGCGGGATCAACCATCTTCCAGGCATGTCTATTGAGATGTACTCATCCACGTTTTCAGGCACCTGGAAAATCCTGGAAACCTCAACATGTTTTTGTCACTGAGTAGATTGTACCCTCTGGTAAACTAACATAGCTATTGAAAATTGCCATTTATAGTGAATTTTCCCATCAAAAATTGTGATTTTCCATAGTTATGTTAGTTTACCAGAGGGTACTGTATTTTGGTGGTTCTGAATGGTCATGTCATCTCAGGAACTATCCAGAACCCACAGGGTTTCCCACCTGGCGGTAGAGCTTGAGCAGCCTCGGTGACGTCAGTTTACTTTGATTTGATTTCGGTTATGCCGCCTTTTACAAAATAAGAAAAAACGGGGTTGATAAAGATTAGAGGAACAAAACAAGTGTTGAAAACTATTGACACGCAAACTATGCTTCAATCCAAAGTTGTTTTTTTCTCGCAACTTTTCTGGCATGGCGGTATGACTTTGGAAGAAACAAAAAATGAGCCATTGACAAACGATTTTGTTTGTGTTGATATTCGGTGGGCCTTGAAGGAAAAGGACCAAGCTTTGGACAACCTTGACAACCCATGAACATTGTGCCAACATGATTATGTACACACAAAGAAACAGGCCAACCACGCCAAGTAATAAAAAGGAACGTTGGCCAGCAACCGATACGCAAATTTGCATGCAAAGGTTCGAACATGCAAGAGACACCACTTCCTACTTTGAAATGGTTGAGTATTTGTTGTCTCATCATCGCTTCCGCCATCGCCAAAAGAAAAACAAAACAGCAACAGAACACACTAACCAAAACAAAGAACAACAATATATATATATATACTTCGCGCCTCTCAACGATTCCGAGACGGCGAGATGGTTGAGCAAGTGGGCACTAGATGGTGACCCCAAAACCTCTCCTACAGTATTCTATGAAGACTTGTATCATTTGATTCAGCCGCTGGGGTGTCCGGTGATGATGTGATTTTTGAAAATTAGCGTTTGATGCAAGTATGGCAGCGTCGTCACTGGGTACAGCGGACACATGGAGTTTGATTATTGCGGGCCTCCATGTGCATGAGGAAAAACTGATGAATTATGAATTGATGAACTTAGGGGCGAAGGAGGTGAAGAAGTGGTAAATACAGTAAAACCGTGATCTGATCTTGATGCTGATGTTGATGTCGATGATGATTACGACCACGATGATGATGACGACAATGTCCATGGCAATGACCATGAGGATGACAATGATGATGGCGATGATGGCGATGATGACGAGGATGGCGATGATGGCGATCATCATGATGATGATGATGATTATGATGCTGATGATTCAATGATGATGATTATGATGCTGATGATGATGACGATGAACATGACGATGACGATGACGATAATGATGATGATGATGATGATGATGGTGATGATGATGATGATGACGACGATGACGATGACGATGACGATGACGATGACGATGACGATGACGATGACGATGACGATGACGATGACGATGATGATGATGATGATGATGATGATGATAATGATGATGATGATGACTATGACGATGACAAAGACCATGACGATGACGATGATGATGGTGATGGTGATGATGATGATGATTATGATGATGATGACGTTGACGATCATCATGATCATCATGATCATCATGATCATCATTATCATCATGATCATCATGATCATCATGATCATCATGATCACCATGATCATCATGATCATCACGATCATCACGATCATCATGATGATGAGGGTGGTGGTGATGATGGTAGAAATAATGATGGTTGTGGTGGTGATGATCATGATCAGGATCGGGATCAGGATCAGAATGCTGATGATGGTAATGACAGTGATGATGGTCATGAAGATGATTTGATGAAGGCATCTTGTGAAAATTTGATGACATGTTGGTGATGCGATGACGTGATTCTGGAATAAGATCTCACCGCATAGCAAAACAAAAAAAAACATGGAAAAGTAAGATGCTACCAAACTAGTGGTAGATTAATTATGATTATCTCCTTTGGGAATTACTGTATAGTTACCCACGGGGGGTGCAGCAACAGAAACAGTCCGAATACCAAGCAACGCCAGGAGAGTTGCTCGTTGGCAACAACTCTTCAGCCTGAGAGGGGATGTTTCTTTTAGGCTGTGGTAGGGGATGTGTGCCATGGTCAAAACATGATACTTTATGGGTATATGATGGGTATACAATGGGTATATCAATGGAATCTACACCAAACATAATAATTACAGTAAATGACTTGATGTCATCCATCCCAGAGTGGGAATCCTTATCGTGGGTGGGTTTACAAAAATCCCGAATGGATCAATGACCATCCCTCAATATGGGTATACATTCAACTTTTGACCATGGCGCAGTGGATGAAGTCAACGCTGCATTTGTGGCTGAAAATGGGAAGCTCCACGCTCCACATAACAATGTTAAGAGGAAACATGAGGATTCACCAGTTGATTGAAGGGTACCCCATTCGCAGACAGACCCATGTGTTTTACTATTACTATGTCAAATGGATAAGTAGAACGTGGATGCAGCAAGGTGATGTAATATGAATTGGTTTTAATATATAGTAGCCGAAGGCAGTGGTTCCACGCGGATACTTACCACATTCCTAACACTCGACGTTAACCAAAAAAACATACTTATAAAAATATCTTAAACTGTGTAATTCCCAAAAATATGCGTGAAAATCATAACTCCGGAGAAAAAAACAAAAACACCTACTCGATATGTGCTATCCCTCCAAAAGGCTTTATCATGCTTTATCCAAATTATGCTGTTTCCTCTTGAGCTGAATGGTATTCAATTCGAAAACATCCCATCCCGCCCAGCCTCCAAAGGATCCCGTGCCAGGGTGGTCCCCCATCGAATAGCTGGGAAGGCGATTCCCGACGCTGTGCCCGGGATATGCAGCGCGACATGGTGCAGCTCCAAGGAACCTGCCATGACATGACTGGACAGATGGAACAATGCAGTCAGACATGGGACAAAACATGAATTCCATTTCAATTCTAAAAAAAAACACATTGAAAAAACACTGGTGGCAAATTGAACCCTTTCAATTCTTCGTGGTAATTTCTTCTGTTTTCGGGCCGCATCAACACCAAAAGTCCTCTACAGGCATGCCAACTTTACAAAAGTGTTCAAAGTACATGAAGCACAATTGCATGCAGTTCCATATCTACAGCCATTATAGCAACACCAGTAGAAGGTTCAGTAAGTGGTAGCATGGTAGCATCTACTAAATTTATGCTGGAATTGGTGACACAGGAATTTAGGATTCATATTCAGGAACTGGGTAGTATATAACCCATGACATAGCCCCAAAATAAGACCTATCATACCGGTGGGGGAGTTTGAAAGCTTCACGCAAAATCCCCGCAACCAGTTTTTTGCATGAAAGGTAACTGAGAACGTGGGGAGATGTGGGGAGTCCAAATTCATCCAAATTCGGAAATTTGGACATTGATATGACATAGAACTACTCTCGTGAAAGTCTTTGAGGGGGGTTACCAAATATTTCAGACATATCTGGAGTTGTTGGGAATCACCATTAGCAGTGAGACCTTTACTTTGAATTGCTGATGAGATACAGCTGTATACAATGTGTGATGGTTCCCAACTAGTCCTCAGCATCCACTAGGACTGGATACTCCAGCACAAATTCAGATGTGTCCAGCAAATGCCTGGTGTACATGGCTAGAAAGAATTCTTTCAATAATTCTTGAAGGATAGGTTTCAACGGATGTAAGACGTAAATCAGACCACAGTTCAATATCTATTTATCTTTCTATCTTTCTATAAAAATATATACATAGAATTTGTCAAGATCATCATTTGGGTTGGCTTTGGGGGTTCCCGATCTTGACCATTGCCATTAATTACCCCATTTGGCCCATACCTAAGTTGCCTCTTCCAGAAATGCGCCGCCCCTGGCGCATCCTAATACCACAGTCGCCTTCGACAGGCTCTGGAAAACCAGCTGCAGGGGACCTTCAAAAACGTTGCGTCGACCCAGGTCGAAACATTGGATCTGCTACATGATGTGTGGGCAAACCTCGATCTGGGCTGTTCGAAACTCCCATTTTTGGTGGTAAACTATAGCCATTTCGGCGTGTTTTAACGGCTAGGAAGCCCCATGCTTGCTGGGTAAAACAGGTCCTTTGGCCATGGGAAGATCCGAAAGCTTCGGTAATTTCCAGGTAGTCCTCGAAGCATCCTGCTTTGGCAAATTCCATGGATTCCACTGGATTCTTTTTCGGCTTCAAAATCAGCCTTCGACTTCGAAGAGAGAGACATTTCAAATGCTGTCATTTGACAGTCCCATAACAGTCCCATAAGGTTTCTAGGTGATTTGGGTCTTTCAAAAGGCAGATCTGAAGTGTCACCATCAAAAGGTCTTCCTACAGCCCTACTCGTGAATGTTCGGGCTGCAAATGAACAACTAAGGTGACACCCGAAGCAAATTCCAGCAAGTAATTATTCATCACAGAGGAGCTAGATTCATGAACTTGCCAATATTGTCGGTAGCTTCTTTGACAACACTAGTCACTATCTAATAAAACGCTCATTCAAAGTTCGAATGTTCCCCATGATGTTAACTTCAAGATGCTTCAACACTCATCCAACGCTGCCGTGGTGTTACCACCACTTTTTTCCAACGCCATCAACGCATCACCGCCAGGCTCCCCAACACACCCGCTGCAGAGAGACCAATCAAGGACCAAGTGCAGAGCCAACCTCAGGTGATCGGGCACCTTATGTGGCCTGGGTATACAGCAGCTGGCTGCATCACCAGCCCCTCCAGATGCGATTTGAGCAAGACTGTCCACAGTCTACGTACTATGCAAACATAGTAGGTAAAATGCTGCGTCACATCATAGCTATGTATAATTCAGCCATGTTCAGGTGGTGTCAGGGACAGATTGAACTTGGTGAGGGACCTTGGAACTTGGTGCTAGTTCAGTTCATTGGTGATCTGGATGGAGCTTGCCATATAAAGATACCCATCTGCAACGGTGAATAGGATTCATCTTGAGAATCGGGATGGACGGTGCAACAAGGAGGTTCAAACCATTCACTTAAGGTCCGGTCCAACAGCAATTGCCTTCTCAAAAAAAATCGACTCATCCCTCCTTCTCTTGGGCTGCAGCAGGTTTCACGTAGAGCATGCACAGCAGTCCCTGCATCTGCTGGTCGGTTGGGCCACATATCCCCAGAAGATGTTTGTCAATTATACTGTTGCTGAATCATCATCCTATTTTGGGAGACCGAACAATCACCAACATTCACCAACCGTCATCTATGATCCCATTGGCCAAGCCATGGCCAAGCCCTTCTCTCAGGTAGTGCAAGCTGTGCAGCTGAGAATTTATACCTAAATTTGAGATAAGATTTAGCCTAATGCAATCGACATGGATACCGAGAGAAATGGCTGATGACTCTCACTTGAAAGTTTTCTCAGCTGCCGCTGCATGACAGAGAAACAATGGTGTCTCTTTTCACGCTGTGAGGTGTTGCCTGTCACATGCGTCGCATGTAGATGTTGGTCCTTGCCGTTTGACAAGGCCCATGAGTGAAACGACCAGGTGAAACAGCACTGACAATGGACCAGTGCGCACCACTTATTGTTTTTCTTACTTCTCTCCTTGGAAAATACCCTCTGGTTATTTGACGTAGCTATGGGAAATCACCATGTTTAATAGGTACATCATCATAAATAATCTATTTTCATGGGCCATTTTCCATAGCTATGTTAAATAACCAGAGGGTATATGAAAATATGATTTGGATTTGTCAAGCCCCTTGCAGAGAACTTCCAGTGGAAAACATAGCACACCCTGATTGGTTATATTATATTATATACAGATAGATAGATAGATATATGCATACGGTATACATTTTATATCATGTTATATGTGTTTAAATCATTTGATTTTTTTTTCTATTTCTTTACCTTCACTGAACCACTGGCCTTGGTTGTAGGGCAACCGGTTCCAGAGACCCTGGCACCCGAAAAAAACCACAGCCGCCGCCGCTAAGCTAATTTCCAGGGCTTGTGTAGGGATTGCGCCGCACATTCAGGACGTCCATGTTGAGCTGCCGTCCGTGCTTCTTTTCTTTCTCCGTGAAATACCTGGCTGGAACAAGAAATTAACGGAGCACCGGCTTCCAAAGGGACGTAAAAGTGGAAAGCAACCCCATTTGGCAAAGCTCGGAGAGTATGAGAATATGTAAAAATGCTGATAGAAACTCAGTCAAGATCAATCATGTAATGGCCCAAGTGTCATATGCCCTCATTACATTTTGAGGACAGTTGACTGTTGAACTCTGTTGAATCCATGGCGCCGGCAAACAGAGAGATGTTTTTTTGGCACCAAGGAGCAGCTCTGGCTCTTGGAGAGGTCGAAGCCAGATATGTTCTCTGACCTCGGTTCCCAAAGAAACTGAAAAGTGCAGTGGACTGCTGGAAGGCATACCCCAGATGTGTATCACTCTTTGGCACCCAAAGAGGGATTCAGTGGAATCCTAAATTGTTAACAATACTGTATATACCTGTTCGTCAAATGGAGAACTCTGGCGTACATCAGTTCTGGGGCCGGTTTGATATTCTTGAAGTTGACAGTGCGGGTCACAGTCCAAAATTGGGTGTCCCGGTGTCCCCTAAACCGGACGTTTCCAAACGGGGCCAAAGCATCTACAATCCTGGAACCTCTTCCCAAAGAGATTCCCCGAAATGGATCTGAAAAACGGCGCATTTCCGATGAGAAAAATAACCAACAATTCACAACCCAGAAGACCCATATGTTTGATCCAGACACTAGGTATGAGATGTATAATACAGTAATTAGACAGTGAGAAAACATATTGAAGGATGTTTGGGTGAACTATACACAGTCGATGTTCCACCAACCATCACTTCACCAACTTGATCAAGCAAATCAAGTCATATCAGGTCCCCAAAGCAACACCAGCCATTCGACAGTCATCAGCCAGCTACATAAGCAGTTTTCTTGGGCGGATCAATGGCAGATCCCCCCATCTCTAAGGCTTGCCGTGGCGGCGGCACGCGCTCATTCTTTGCCAGGTCCGCACGGGGTTTCCTGGAAAAAATGGGATGGAGATGGATGGATCTACCCTACAAAAACCTGGGGGAAGACCATGAGAAAACCATTAACATCACCAGTTTTGAGGGTTAATCCACTTGCTTTTTATAAAATAAGATTTCCAGCAAGGAAAGGGCATTGTCTATTGCCATGGTTGATTGCCAGCAATGGCAAACAAACGAGGAATGCCATGGTTGATGTTCCGTGAAGATTTTAGATTCTCTTTGACAACCGGCTGGGCATATCCCAAAAAAATGGCGCTTAGAAGATCCAAAAGCAGCTTCACCAGGATGTTCTCTTTACTGAATGTCATACTTCCGGGGCCGAACATGGAGTTATGATGAGTTATGTGTTATGAGTTAAGTACCTTCGGAACTTGACAAAGAAGCCCTGCTGGACGATTCTTAAACTTGCGTGCCAGTGATCAAGAAACTGAGACTATGGTCCATGGTAGCGTTTTTACGTGATCTCGTGTTCATGTCAAGAAAGCAGTGAGTGTTCTGGGTCAAATTTCTGGTGCAACACTGAAATTGGTGCTCGATTTCAAGACATCCACATAGCCTCCACATTTTGATGGGTGGATGTTTGAAGGTTTCAGTAGATTTAAGACAAGACATTTCCACGACACGACCGCCGTTTGAATGCAAATTTGGGAACCATCACCAACCCACAGACCTTGCCAATCTTCCTCTGAAATCTTCACATTTGGATGTTTCTGAAAATTGCCTTCTCCCCATTGATTTCCCGCTTCAAAATTACGAAAAACTTGGATGACTTGGGGTCCCCCATTGTAGGACCTCCCTTCTGGCTATTAATCAACTAAACATTATTGAATATTATTGACAACATTTGACAACTAGATCAATGAACAACCGCTTTTGGTCCATTTCTCCTGTCGTGGAAACGGGTCAACACCCGGAATTCCATCCTTATACAACACCCTTATTGTAATTTGATGACCCAAAAATAGTTGGTACTTCTGGATGTTCATCCCCGGCATTCATATGGTAAATGATCGGTTTTGACCCATTCCAGGCACCCCAAATCTATGCTTTAAAGCCTCATGTTCAATCATATTCCCCATCATTTCATGGCCTACCTGGCCTACCTATCCTAAACCATCCTAAACCCCATGGAATAACTGCGCCAAGCATCTGAAAATTGCGATGCTCGTGGGACTGATTTTCCAGCAAATCTCCAGGTGGCGCCACAGTTGCGGTCAGCGTCTGTGGCGGCTTCCGGTTGGGCGGCCTAGCACCTTTCAGATCCTGGGCGGTGCGGTAGGAGACCAGGCCTCGAAGGGAAAATCTGTAGAAAATCCATTTTCTTCATGGCAATCAAAAGACAATTCAAGCCAAATCGTCTTAGGATTTACTTTTTCGGTGTGCTTTTCTTGGTGACTTTTGCTATCTTTAAGCTCTGCTTCTCTTGTCGAATCTGCAAGTCTCAGCCAGGATATCTTGATCAAAACTAGTGATCGCAGGAAGATCTTAATGATCGCAGCGGCATTCAGTAGCAAATTCCATCTACGTATTTGAGTCTTCTCGTTTCTACGAACATGATGTGGACATCTCAAGAGTAGACCTGGCCTTTCACCCTGTACGGCAACGGTGTTGATGGTCAAGCATAGAAGGTAGCTGAAGGGACCAAATATGCGGCGTTGATTTCCAATTTAGGGATTTAAGATGATTTAACCATATTTAACCAGTTTGAAACCATGTCAAGGAATCACAGAATGCAACAGCATCCATGATCCAGTCATTTGTGGGTTGTAAAACCCCCAGCAGGCCCCAGATTCTTTGGTGCTGCATCCAGCATAGTCATCTTCATACATGGTGGTGTTGTCCATCGCGGCCATACTGCCTCCCTTACTTTGCCTTGCCAGGGCCAGATATCGGCACCCTGGGGTTGCCCTTGAAAGTGGAGGCCTTCAAATATCCCTTCTGATTTTGGGAGTACCTGTCGCCTTCCACCAACCGTGCAAAAGCTACACACCCAAAGACATAGCAAAAACATGTCAGTTTGGATTCATCACGGCATTTCACGATCACATGGTAGGTGGGGTGAAAGACCACCAGCTTCTAATGTGAAGGATGTGAAGGCACATCAGTTTCTGGGTTAGTTGTTGTGCACCATGGTCAAAATTCCGGCTTTGCATGTTATTGTTTCTGCCATTTGTCAGTCATACCCGCCACCAGAGCATGGGATGTCTGTCTGCAAGTCGCTGACACGCAAGCTCCGAGTTTAGTGCTTGGTCATCGCACTTTATATATTCATGCAAACTAATTCCTTTAATTTTGATGGGATCATAGTTAGCTCTTCCACAGAAGCCCCACCATCAACCATGGAACCAGGGACTTCTCCAGTCACTAACTGTGATAATCCTCCAGCCTTGCGTCCCAGTTACTGCCAGCCCTGCTTGAAGGATCGTGCAAGATCAGTGTTGATCTTGTTGTCACCCAAGGGCAAGGGCACATACGACTGCCTCCGCGGGCGTTACGGAATCATGATGGTAAGTATATTATATAGACATTGGACCTGGATTTTTATGGATATTTTTGGTTTGCGGTCATCCATCCAATATTGGGAATTGTTAAAACCCCATATGGTCCCTATCCGTGGATTGATGACCAGCACCTTTTATCGGAATATACACAATGTTTTGACCATGGCAATGTTTTGACCATGGCACATAATATGGTATGGACATGTATGAACTGTCGATGCAACGTGGGCATCTATTTGCCATTCTAATCCATCCTCCATACAGGGAGGATCAATTGGATCTATACACATATATCCCACTATCTCACTATCTCACTATATCGCAAATCATCCAGTCCCTAGCTTTTGAGCCCATGATGCCATGGTTTCCCACTCCAGACTAGCCACGTGTGATGACAGGAGGCACGAGTGGTCAGCGGTGCAAAGTTTCGCGTCCAGGGTAAATACTTGGTGCTTCCTGGGACGTCCCCGTTGAACCCCCATGAATTGCAGGGCTATCGGAATATTGATCTGCAGGGCTATGAATTGCAGGGGTTTTCCATGGTTAATAATGGTGAATAATGGTTGTTATCATAATTATCTGCTTGGTGGTTTGAACCCTACCCCTCTGAAAAATGATGGAGTGACCGTCAATGGGAAGGATGACATCCATATATTTATATTGTGGAAAATTAAAGCCATGTTCCAAACCACCAACCCGTGATGAATTCAGGGATTCCTGATCTTCACCTAACATTGTTCACCTGGTGATGAACCTTTGAAGAATATTGAAGAATCCTTGCCATCGTAACACGCTTCTACAAGCAAAGAGTGGGTGGCTTAGTGTACAGCATTCGTAGATTGACTGCATCTAAAGCAGATAGCACATGGATAGTGAAGGGTGGATCAGAGTACTTCTGCATGCATCTATCAGATAGAGAAGAAGGAACCATTGACAACCTGTGGGTTTGGGGTTGGAAAACTTTCAATCACACCCAACATACACACAATCTGTCCAACTTTGCAACAGTCAAAGCATGGTATTGTGTGTTATATATTATACATGTGTATGTGTATGTGGCACATATTTCCATAGCACAATCCCTTTAATCCCATCCCGCCACTACAAACTGCCCCCAAAGAAGGGACACTGCAATAGATCTGATACTAAACTTTCAAACCATACTAAACCAGGTTTCTCTGGCCTAATACCAGACCACGTCCAAACTTCACAGCAAGGAGCGTTGACCGATGTTGTGCACGTTCAGAAAGTTTTCGCCCCGGATCTCCTGGCATAGTGCAGAGAGCCACTGGTTTCTAGTGTGTCATTCATCCAAACAACAACAACATCAAAAATCAAGTGCAGTAGAAAGCTCAACCAACGACGCTGGGAATTGACGGAGTTTATCAAGTTTGCAGACCCACAGGGTCCCTGCTCATACACTTCTCAGAAGTTGTGGACTCAAAGTCTCCAGATAAACGCCAGGTGGTTTGTTGAAGGACGTGAGTGGGGTGTGAAAGTGACGAAAAGTGACTCCAAACAGCTGTTCACTAGACCTGCAACCATGTACCATTCAAAACACTCACGGAAAATACGATTGGTTAAACCCGTGAGACGCTTCCAACTGGTTTCTTCGGCAAATAAGCACTACAATTGCTATATCATATCTGTTTGGTGGTTTCAACCCCTCTGAAAAATCTGAAAGTCAGTTGGGATGATGACATTCCCAATAGATGGAAAAATAAAAAATGATCCAAACCACCAACCAGTTATTGTATCATGATCTCTTCATCGTGGAAATTGAAACTGGTGGACTTAGCCCATCCCAAAAATACCGCCACCTGGGATCTCATCCCAATTCAGGACGGATCGGGTGGACGTTCCTAACACATAATGATTCCAAAACGGTTGAATCAACCAACCAGTTTTCGTGGTTTACAATGGTGTATATTCCCATCTTTAGTTGGCTAAATCGTCATGGTTCTCAGATTTCCCAGCTACTAAAACATGCTAAAACCCATCAACATAGGGGGCTTTTTCTTGAATGCGAGGATTCCCCAGGGACACCTGTGATGATTGTCTCCCGGGCAGTGCACGATTGCTGGCGGTCTCCTCAGTGGGTTGGATCAAACTATTGTCTGGTAATCCATGAGTTATGGGGGGTTCCATAAATGGGGGATCCCCCATAGCTGGATGGTTTATAATGGAAATTCCTATTCAAATTGATGATTTGGGGGTACCCGCATTTTAGGAAACCCCCTGGCCATGGAATTCATCCGTCAACCATCTACAAATGGGTAATGTTCCATGGTCCATGGCTGAAATTCACAGAGGCTAGACCCTTGAAATCCCTCAGTGAATGTGACATCGACAATTCTGATTGGGTTAAACAGTTTCACACATTTGAAACACCGAAGACTTGGGATGGAGAATACATCTTGATTATCTTGTCATGTGTAAATACATTGTTTAATTAATGGACTCAATCCCAGTCTGTTCTGGATGCCCAAGCCCCTGGAAAACGTATTCATGGCGATCCTCATCCCAAGTAGGATGGCAAATGGCAGTAAAACACACTCAAAAAAACAATAAAACCAACCACACTTGTCAGCAATTAAAGCCGAAGATATACATCGTAATCTGCCATTTTCCATTTATACCAACGAACCAGTATGTTTCCCTTCTCAACTCAACTTCATAGTGCTTGGATAGTATAAACATGTATAAACCTAGTAAAGAGCTAAGGTTATATATATATATGTGGATAATCCCCTGCAGTTATATTACATACATGGATTGTAATATATTGAGATGATGGGAATTGCTTACAAACCCCCACTTCCATTCATCTCCCATTCATCGCCCAGTTGAGGTTCGTAATATGCCTTCAGCAACTGGTCTTTTCCCACCGCATTCAGTGCTCGGTGGTTTGGGAAAGGCCCAGGCGAAGGATACAAGGGCGGCATGGCCACCGGTTCCACGCCACAGCTCCAGGGCGAGTCTCGGTTTCAGTCACGGGGAAGTCACAGGTTGTTTCAATCCATAGGAGATCTCATATCTTGGGAATGAACATCCACTAGCAAATTCAGGTTTGAAGTTAGAACTGCTGATTCCATGACTGGACGCTTATGTTTTAATGAAGCGTTTGAATGTTGACCATCTGCCATCTGATTCAGAAGGCATTTCATGACATGTTTCTGCTTGAGGTCTGCAAATGAGATCACCTTTCGCATTCGCTTGTCGAGGTTGTCTGGCCCTTGACGGAAATCATCCTGACCAAACTTTTAGTGTTGGGGACTGCCCAATCTGCCTTTTGTTTTTCACCCCTAGTTATCCCTGTCAGTAAGTTGTGGTGGGTCACAGCTCAGCCTTGTTACGGGCAGGTCACTTGCTGAGCTCACTTGTGGTCGGTTTGGATGCTGGGATTTATTTTCAATTGTATTTCATGATTTACCAAGCCAGAAACGGAGAATCCAGCATAATTACACAATACTATACATTGCACGTTCTCCAAACCTTCGAAGCTTTCACGGTTGCCACACTGGGTACCTTCAGCAGCGCCAAACAACTCGGAATTTCACCTGCGTTCCACGGCGAGGCGTAGGACAGCGGCATTTCTTCAGGCGTACCTGGTTGCTTTCGCTTTCGGGCGCCCATTAACTTTCGGGGATTCCTGGATTCACATCCAATGAAATCACTGGTTGTTTGCTAATTTTCAACCCGCAAAAATTGTGTGTGTGTGTCATCTGTGACATGATCTCATTCAGTGACATTGCAATCAGTACAGTGTGGTAAATAGTAAATTCATCATTTAATGAAGAACAAACAGTAACCAACCATGATCAGGGTTCATAATAAACATCATCCGATGAGTGGGGGCAAAGTGACAATTTCAAAAACCGTTTCTTTTGGGGAGAATGGTGACTTTCGCATCGGGTTTCTATATATACTGCATGTTTAAATAGATAACTGTTTGCCTTGTCACGAAACGACACACACACACAGAAAAACACATTATATATAAAATATATGCATATATAATATAAATACAAATATATATATATATACATATATATCATATCCCCATAAAATATATATATATGTATTATATATATATGTTACAATATGTATATTATGAATGGTATATGCCCATTGTAAACCCATCATTTTTGCTGTTGGGAAACCCCAAAAGGTGCCGCCCGTGCCCCTGCGCCTGTGGTTTGTTCCAAACTGAGGCTAAACAGCGGTAAGGTTGCTGCGAAGGTGATGATTCTCCTCCCAACCATCTCCCCCCAATGGGATTTAACGTGGTATATAATAAATCGTCCCAAGCAATCCCCAATAGAGGGTTATTATCTAATATTGTACACCCTTAGCAATAGGATGGTGTAAAAAGACGAGTGGTTAGTAAATAGGATGGACCACATTACTGTGGATGCATGTGTCTGATTCGTTTTTGGACAACCTTTATATAGTGTATCTCAATCTATTTTATCCATGGATTCATCCATTTTTTGTATATACATTGACATTTACATTGAATAAATACAAATATTAAATATAAATATAAATAAACAAATACATATTTATATATACATCAATGTATGTATGTCTGTCTGTATGTATGTACGTATGTACGTATGTACATATGTACGTTTGTACGTATGTACGTAGTGAAATGTAATGAAAAGTAATGTAATGAAATGTAACGTAATGAAATGTAATGAAATGTAACGTAATGTAATGTAATGACATGTAATGTAATAAAAGGTATGTATGTATGTATAAATGTAAATATGTAGACATGTATACATGTATATATATATATATGTATATATGTATATATGTATATATGTAAATATGTATATGTATATATGTAAATGTAAATATGTCAACATGTATTTATGTATATATATATACTTTGGGGTGTGCATGCAGGTCTGCATGCATGTATTTATTTGTATCTATATATATATGTACATATATATATATGTATTTGTATACATATACATATACACATACACATGCATATACACATACATATACATAAACATACACACATATATATATATATGTACATATACATATACATATACATATATATGTATATATATATATATACACATACATATATATATACACATTCATATATATATATAACCATCCAAAAAATAGTCTAGAAAGCACAAAAACCAGTCTGGGGAACGGTGGTCCGACCGTTGCTGCCGCTCCTTGTCTCTCTGGCGGTCCTGGGACCTGACGCGAACAGGGCCTTCCAAGTGTTGGATGATAGGAATTTTCGCCATTGGCTAGTCATGGCCATGTCCGTAAATGTTTATGTAAAGGTGGGTATGTAGATGTACGTAGGTATTTGTCTATCTATCCAATCTACTGTAACTCAATCTAAACTAATCTATCTAATCGAATCAACTATCCTAATCTAATCTCCTCTAGTCCAATCTAATCTAAGCTTATCTTATCTTATTTACATATTTCCAATCTCATCTAATCCAATCTCATGCTTGTATAGTCTAATCAAACTTTAATCAAAATCTGAACTAATCTCATTGTGTCTTATTGTTCTACCTATCATATCTAATCTATCTAATCTATCTAATCTATCTAATCTATCTAATCTATCTAATCTATCTAATCTATCTAATCTATCTAATCGACCTAATCGACCTAATCTATCTAATCTATCTAATCTATTTATCAATCTATCCATCCTTCCATCTATCTGACTGATCTATCTACTCTACTCTGCTCTGCTCTGCTCTACTCTTCTACTCTACTTCTACTCTACTTCTACCCTACTTCGACTCTACTTCTACTGTATACTCTATATACTCTATATACTCTATATAAACTCTATATAAACTCTATATAAGCTCTATATATACTCTATATACTCTATATACTTTATATACTCTATGTACTCTATATACTCTATATATTCTATATACTCTATATACTCTACAAACTCTATATATGTTATTCGCTATATATACAATATATGCTGTATATACTGCATATATATCATATACTGTATATATATAGTTAGCATATATAACTAGTTTGTTATATAGCATATATATATATAGTGTGTATATAAAGTATATATATAGTAGAATTACCGTGTATATATATATACATAGTATTTAGATGTAAATATATTGCGATCACAATACGAAGAGTACATATATAGTATACACTATCTATACTATATATATATTATAAGCAGTTATATACTATAAGCAGTTACAGTATGTACTATATTTACTATATATATATACACTATGCTATACTATACTATATGATACTATATGTTCTATATACACTGATTGAACTATAAATACTATATTTAAACTATGTACTATATAATCTCTATATATATATACTATATTTTCTATACACCCTCAAAATTGCATAGTCGAATCAAATCTAGCTACGTAGACATGTCTCCAAGTATCTATGAATCTATGTTCTATGTATCTGTCGAACTATCTTTGGACCTATCTATCTGTCTGTCTATCTGTCTATCTATCTGTCTGGCTGTCTATCTATGTTTCTACGTGTCTACCCGTCTACCTGTCTATCTCATGGCGTCTGGCCGGAGAGCCGCACTTATCTATGTATCCATGTATCTATGTATCTACGTTTGTCTCCTGCCGGTGCCATGCATACAGGCATGTCTGCCTGTCTGTCTTTCTGTCTGTTCGCATGATTGTGTATGTAAGTCTCGCTGTCTCTGTCCGTATGTATGAATGTATGTCTGTCTGTCTGTCTGTCTGCCTGCCTGCCTGCATGGTATATGGAAGGTTATGTACGTGCATGGTATGTAAGCAAAATGGAATTCCACATTTAATAATCAATCGGCAGGAGGTATAATAGGCCCTTGTTCCCGGGATCATATTTTGGTGGTCTCTTGCGGTCTTGTGCCATCGCTTCGTGATTCTTGGTGCGCTTGTTGCTGGGGAGAGGCTCGCGGGTAGCGAGATACTGCAGATGTATTTTATGGAAATGTTAATAAACCACGGTATCCTAAATAAAAACACAATAGAGACCACCACCCAGTGACAGCCTATGCAAATCGGGCTCTGGCCTCTCAATAGGGGAAGTATTGTCCAGAAAAGATGTGGTTTTTGAGAGGGGGCCATTGACTTGGGAATTTGGACATCGGGTTTTGGTCCACGGCCTAGGTTTGAAGGCATTCATTCGGAACCTGGGAAACATGTTGGGTTCCTTTGCAACAATGCCAGGAACACAATTTTCAAACCCCTAACAGAGAACAGATCTTTGAATTGACCATTCCAAATACTAAACTTCCATGTTGGGGTCCCATCCCTCCAAACATTTTCCCGGATACCGAAAACCACTGGCATGGTTAACTTTAGATAACTTCACACACGCGAGATTCCGCCATTTATGGCTCAAATGCATCAAATTCGTGAAGGTGGGCCTGAAAATATGGTATGTTTCATCACATTTTGATGGTATACCCCGTTTTCAGACACACCTTCATCATTCCTAATATAACATATATATATATATCTCTCTCTCTCTCCATGAAACATCCCATGTATCTATACCCATCCCATTCCAGTTATATCCGAATATATGATATATACCCCATTATTAATATGTGTTGCCATTGAATTTGTGGTTTACCCCCACAACTGCACCTTCATGTGGGGTCTCTTCCTCATCCTCGGGTTCCTGGCCATGGACGCATGGATGGGAAAAAACTGGGGTGCCTGCACCCGCCAGAAAAAAAAACAATGGATGGTGACACTGTATAATCAGTGTAATGCTGTGCAGTGTTTATTGATGTTCGACGAATATGACTGTTTTTTGAACGTGTTTGGTGATGTATGATGATGTTCATTGATAGCGAATGATTTTCAATGATGTTTCATGGTTTTAACTCAATTGTTTTCAGTTTTCAATGAGTTTGAATGATATT